ACATCCTCGGGTCTCAACAAATGGGTTGCGACAAAAGCGGGTTAGGCTATGATGCAACAGCACACAAGGGACAGACCTCTACTTCACATGACAAGAAGACTCAAGCAAAGGGAAAATTGAAGGCAGACCAGGCTGATCTCTCTCTCCGTCTACCGAAAGCTGGTAAAATCAACAAAAAGGAGGTAAAACCAGTTTTTATTTGTCATCACTGTGGTAGGTATGGCCACATTCGTCCTTACTGTTTTGAACTCTTTGGTAAGGTGTCTCAAAAGGGTAGAAATTCTAATACTTTTTGGGTTAGGAGACAACCTTACATGTCTAGGCTGAACACCAAGACTAAAAAGATTTGGACTAGAAAAGAGGATTTGACTTGTTTTGTTGCTCACACTGCTCTAAAAGCACGTGATTCACACATGTGGTATCTTGATAGTGGGTGCTCTCGTCATATGTCCGGTAACAAATCCTACTTCACCTCCCTTGAAAAATATGAAGGAGCATGTATAGATATTTTTGAATTGCCATTTTACGAAAATTTCATCCGCGGGATTCGACACCTATGTATAATTGATTGAGTCCTGGTATCTTTTGCATCAAAATATTAAATGAACACTGCTCATGTTTCTTACAAGATTTGTTTTACATCTTTGTTCATAGCTCATTCTGAATGCCCATACTCATTTACTTCGTGATCTCATTCTGTACACATTCTTGAGCTAAACTGTTGCAGGGGTTTCCGCATAAGTGATCAAAGTTCTCTATGGACCACTGACAGTGTTTCTTGTACTTTTGCGGAGAAATTGACCTATACTAGTATATCATGGGTGATGTTAAGTCTCTTAACCATCTACCGCCTTAGTTCACTTCCATGGTTTCTCCCTCAGTACATGATCTCCGGGCATTAGGAAAAGGCTACCTCAGAGGCACCAACCAGGCCATCATTTTGAATTCATTCTTCTCTGGTTGGAATCCATACTCTTGAGCGTGCATGCCACCAGTGAGTGCCCACAAGAAAAAAAAAACAAAAAAAAAACAAAAAAAAACAAAAACAGTGTCTGAGGGGGAGCTTCCGCATTTACTTAACAAATACCCCGTGATTCCTAGTGGTTTGACTTTTCTTTGTGATAGTCAGTTACTCGTGTCGGAGGTCCAGCCATCCGATCACTACTAGGATTAACTCTAGCTTTGTGGCTCTCAAGGATTGCACACACACATTTTTTACATGAGCTCTCATGTGTGTTTTTGAGTTATGCATTCTCATGATGCGTGTGGCTTTGATTTAATACTATCTGTGTTGTTCATGAGCTGGTGTTTCATCTCTTTTCTCAAAATTTGCAGGACTCATAATTTGATGGATTTTCTTGTCTTTGTGGTTTAGTCTACACTTGCTCTTCTTGCTTGTTACAGGACTTTCTAGGTGTGTTTTGTTTTTTTTTTTTTTTTAAAAAAAAAAAGGGTTTTTCCGCTCGAGCGGAATGTTTTACGCTCGGGCGCGTTTTTCACTCTTGCAGCAGTTTGTTCGTGATTTGGCAGTTCTGAGAGATGGGTTTTTGAGCTCGAGCGGCCCTATGCACGCTCGAGCGGGAGTCTGCTTGCATTGTTTTATGCTCGAGCGATAACACGTACGCTCGAGCGGACCATTTTCATACTTAACTCCCTCTCTCGACTCTTCGAGTCATTTTTTTTTCCTTTTTCATTCTCTCGATCTAGGGGTTTGTTTTGTGGCTGCATTGTGGTCGATTTTCCCTCTCATCCTCCATCCTGCCTGCCGATTTGCTCTTTGGTAAGTTTTACCCTCTTTTATTTTCGTTGATTTTTTGTTCTATTTGGTTATAGTGGGTGTTGGGTTTGTGATTTTGTGGGTTTTGTGTGTCGTTTTTGTGATTCTCTCTCTCTCACACTTTTCCTCGTCCTATTGTCTGATTTTTATGTGTGTTTTCTTTATTGTGTCTGTGGTATTCGGGTTTATCTGTGTTCCTGCTTTCATGTCTTTATGGGCTGTTGAGGTCACTGTGCGTGAGTATGGGTCTGGTCTTGAATACATTGCTTTGATTTTCTCATGATTCATACTTATACTTTGCAATTTCTCTCATATTGGGTGTATTAGTTATGAGTTCTTCAATACCATGCTCCTCTTTGTTCATGCTTGATCTTTTGCATTGCACATTGAGGATTTCATGCCCTGTTTTTTTTTTTTTAATTTGGTTATTGAACTAATGATTTGCTTTGGTTTTGTTTTGGTGTGGTTTGGGTTTTGGGTTTGTTGGTTTGTTGGGTGTTATAGTGTCTTTTTCGTCATGTCTGCTCCTGCTCCTAAACACTGAAAGGCCACCGTCTCTCGCCCTCCCTATAACCCTGTTAGGTTTCAGTCGGCCACACATTCCAAGTCCTTCCACAAATCTTTTGTGAATCGCACAGTTCATTTAGAACGGAATGTTCAACCTGATACATTTGAGTCCATCCACATTCGTTCTTTGTTCGACCCTCTAGGTGGTGACCTTGTTTTATTGTTTTCTGGGCGTCAGAATCTCGATTGGGTTCGAGAATTCTATTGTAATATGGAGGGTATTCGTGATTATGAGCCAACTTTCACTACATGGGTTCGGTCAAAATCCATTTCCGTCACCCCTGTATTGATTCGCCAACTTCTTAAGATTGAGCAAGTCTTTCCCAAATACTATCCTTTCCCTGTTCCTGACTGTCCTACTTGTAACTTTGATGATGTGGCTTTGGAGCTGTGTGGTGTTGCCCGTCATTGGCCTAAAGGAGGTTTGATTAAACAGTTTGAACTTCTTCCGGAGTTCAGACTGCTTAATCTGATTGTCTGCGCCAACATCATTGTCACCACACACTCATCCGAGGTCAAACAAGACCAAGGATTCATTTTGTCCTGTATTGCCCGTCACCGGTCTATTGATCTCGCCTCTCTTATTATAAAAAAGATGATCGGTGCTCATGGGCATAAAAAGCTTGGCCTTCCCTACGGTTGCTTGATCAACCGAATTTTGTCTGACCTTGGGACCCCTATCCTAGAAGATGATGAGCTTGCCTCTCCTTCTCGTCCTTTTACCAAGAAAACTATGTCTCAAAGTCGAGCTCATATTAAGGGGGAGTCATCCCGGGTTGGTCCTTCTGCAGGAGTTGCTGCTGGTCTTGCTGAAGAAGTCGAGTTTGATGCCACCGCAGCCAGTGATGATGATGAGGCTCCTGTTCCCCCTCCGGATTTTCCTGCTCTGTTTCAGCAGTTCGCGGAGGCCATGATCAGACGCTTGGATTTTTTGGATTCTCGCTTCGATGCCTTTGATGGTCGTCTTGGTCAGATTGAGGAGACTCTCACCCATCTCGTCCGTCTCATTCAGTCTCCACGGCCACCCGATGCTTGATTTCTAATCCCCGGCCAAAAAGGGGGAGTGATGTTGCTTGTGTGGGTACAGTTGGGTACAGTTGATCCGTTGATCAGTTGATTACACAGCTTTTGATTACATTTTTTTGGTACAGTTGTTCTCTGATTATCCTTCCTTGGTACAGTTGGATTTTATATAGCTTTTTCTTTTTGGTTATATTTTGGATATATGTTTATGGATGGATGGATACTGGTTTGCTTATGATTGGCTTAATGGTTTATTATTTAAACTGGTTTGCTTATGATTGGCTTAATGGTTTATTATTTAATCCAGTTCCACCTGTTTTTGGTTGGCTTGTGTTTGGGTGTTCTTTTTCAGGCTCATGGAACACGCGCATAAGTGGATGAAGTTGAATGAATGAATTCTTTCCCAAGTTGTGTTTTCGGGTTTTAAAAGAATGTTTTGTTTATTTGTTTTGTAACTTTTATAGTGCGTGTGTGTAAGGAACAATGGTTAGAAAGGTTTTGTTCGGGAATTGACAAAGGGGGAGATTGTTAGGTCCCTATGTTGTCAAATCCGGAGACAACATTGTGTTGATTCAAATATAATTTTTTGTGTTTTTGTTCTGTCCGCTCGAGCGGAGCCTTGTGAGCTCGAGTGTAGATTAGCAGGTCTCAGTATTTTGTCAGGGCAAGCAAAAAATACTGGTGGGTGTGATTTTACGCTCGAGCGGATTCTCCTACGCTCGAGCGCATCTCAGTTTGTTCGCACGCAGTTTTTGGTCAGTCCGCTCGAGCGGGCTGTGTTGAGCTCGAGCGGAGATCGCGGATCCAGATTCCTATTTAAAGCTGTTAAGGGTGCTTTTTTTTAGGAAGTTTTTCTAGATCTGATCTACAAGCACTAGGGTTGTGTTTAAAGTTTTCTTTGGAGATTTTTCATAGTTTTCCTTGATGTTCTTGAGAGAGTTCTGAACTTATGCATTGAGATTCATACATCAAGGAGGTTGCTTCTTAAGTTTCAAGTAAGTTCTCTTCGGTGGATTCCGAAGATTAAAGCGTAGAATCCAAAAGGCGTTTGATTCTACGCAGTCGTTAATTCGACAAGTGAAGTTGTGGTATGGAATCAACTTCAGGATCAATTCCGTGACGAAGGTGTGGTGAAAAGAGTTACAGAAGATTCAGAGACAAATTGACTGGGTTGGGTAATTTGTATGGTATCTTTGTAATCTTTTCGTTCTTCAGTAGTGGATTGATAGTGGCGGTTCGCCCGTGGTTTTTGATTACAATTGAAGGTTCTTCAATTGTGGTTTTTTCCACGTAAAAAATCGTTTGTGTCGATTTATTGTTTATTCTCAAAAACAAACAAACTAAAATCACTCTCGTAAGTGTTTGATGATTTTAGGTTGAGTGTTTTGAATTAATTGGGATTTGGAATAAGTTAATCTTGATCTAATCACAAATCACGTAGGATTATCAGTTTTTGTGAGAACTAGTTGTCGGACAACACCTTTTACAATAAAACAAATGCAAGCAAAACTATTTGAAAGTTGGTACACCAGATGCATTATTTGATAAGCTGTAAGAGTAGATAGATGATCACACAATCGTTCCTATTCTGATTATTTGAAACAAGATTTTTACCATATATACAAAGCTGATTAAAAAAATTCTAACACGAGCAATACTAATTTTATTATCTCACTCAGATTCAGAAATGACTTCTAACTTGCCGTCAAAAGACTTTCCACCTGTAGCAGTTTTGGGATTTGTGGTGGTAAATGGATTGGGGGGCATGGCCAGAGTGTCTCCATCTCCTTCTAGCATTTGAACAACAACTTTCATCGAAGGCCGGTCTCCTGGGTACCACTGAATGCACCAAAGTCCCACAATTGTTATTTTCTTCACAATCTTAGCATCTCCGTCTTCCTCAACCACAATCCCCTGTTCATAATTTAAACGGTCATAGATCCATTCAGGGAAGTAAACTTCGCTAGTATTCTGTGTTGTAACATGGGTATTCTTCCTTCCTCCAACCATTTCAAGCAACAACATTCCAAAACTGTAGACATTTGATTTGTATGATACGTTCCCAAAGTTCCTTGAGAACACTTCAGGTGCAATATAGCCTACGATGCCCCTAGCAGCAGTCATGGATACAGCACTTTGTTCTTTCGAACACAACTTGGCTAGACCAAAATCTGAAATCTTGGGATTGAAGTTGTGGTCCAACAAGATGTTATGAGGTTTAATATCGAAATGAAGGATTCGTTGATCACACCCTTGATGAAGATATTCAATACCTTTGGCTATCCTAAGAGCAATACCTTGCAGTCTCTCCCAACCAAGTGAACATTTTTCCTGATTGGATGATATAAACTTCTCTAGCGAATCATTTGGCAAGTACTCGTAAACGAGAGCTCTTTTAAATTCATCAGCATAGTATCCGACCAAGCGAACCATGTTGACGTGGTGAATTCTGCCTATTGTTCCAACTTCGTTGATGAAGTCGTCCCCATTCCCCTTGACATTGTTGAGGATCTTGGCTGCAATGTGAACATCATTGGCAAACTTTCCCTTGTACACTGTTCCATAACCTCCTTGGCCTAGTTTTTCCTTAAAATTATCAGTAATTTTCTTAATCTCTGCATAAGTGTATCTTGTAGGCTTGAGAGCTCTGTAATCCTCCAAAAATCTTTCAATTTTCATTTGATCCTCTTTCTTTGATTTATTTGATCTGTGGACAAGATATACTGTTACCATGACTACAAGAAAAAGAAACAATCCGAAAGGGATCACACCTGCAAATTTAAACAACCAAATTAGGAGGGAAGACTCCTTCTCTAGAAAAATCAAGGGAAGAGGCATATAGAAAATTCACCTTTAAGAACTTGGCTTATTGTTTCACCTGTAAAAGACAGACAAGATCAAATAGTTTGTCATTCATAAAATTATATAATTTATCTGCTATAGGTTTTCAGGATGACAGCTCTTTCATTTGTCAGCATGTGTCATAGTTTATGGAGAGATCTGATGGTTACTCCAATGAGTCACATGACAGTGAATTCACCTAATTAATTTGTAGGCCTATGCGACTCCTAGGACTCTGTTTGGATCATGATTTTGGAAATGGAAATGGGAAAGGTGAGGAAGATGTGAATGAAATATAACCTAAATTTTTTTATTTTTCTTTTTCAAATCTCTATCCAAAATCCTTGATACTGAAAGTAAAACAGGGGGGAACTAGTAGTGGAGGGACGAAGGAGTACCTGTAGCTTGTTTGCCAAGTGAAGGAGTATCCGCAACAATTGATGGTGGGTTAGGGTTAGGAATATTATTGTGAGAACATTCAGTTTCATCATGTTTTCTGCTGCTGCTGTTATTCCTCCTCCTCAATCTACAATACTTGCCTATTTCTTCACAACTCCCACATATGGGCTTGGACCAACTCAATCGAAGGTAATTAGTATAGATATCAGGAGAACCAGATAGGGAATCTATTGATGTTACGGTATTTAACTTTCTACAAGATAATAGGAACTGCAGGATTGAAAAATCATCAGGTACCGCATAGACCACTTGACCTTGGCTGCTGTTATGGCAATTATTTGTGATTGGAAACATTGAATAGCTATTATATGCATATTCCAAAGGGTAGGTTTGGTTTGTTGAGGAGGGACAACTGAAAAGGCTAAACTTACTTCCGTAAAGTGGTGAAAATTTGAAGGGAGAGGCCGATAAATTGTGGTTTAGATTTAGGAGAAGTTGTTCGAGAAAGCAATCACTGAAGTCATATATATATGACGACTGGTCTCTGTAATTGATTAGCGATACCTTGGCAGTCCTAACAAATGGGAGCTCAAGCAGGGTATTTTTGGCTGGGGAGCAGGATAGTTGAAATCCAGGATACCCACAGTGATTTGGCTGATGGTCCTTTAGCCAGAATGGGAACCGGATGTTTGGGCCGTCATCCCCACACCTTGTCACCGCGCATTCATCTGAATCTCGTGGTCGTGGTTGTGGTGCTCCTCCAACTCCAAGAAATCCTGCGGCCAATACTACTGCTTGGAGTTGGAACAAGAAGAGAAAAATAGAGAACAAGAGGAAGAAGGAGAACATCATGGCCATTTCCAATTTTAATTTCCTTTGTGGAGTTCCAAATTCAATGCCTCGTCCTCATCCTCATCCTGTCTTTCTATATTGATGCTAATTGCTCGCTTGACTTCAAGTCCTCATCTTCATCCTCTCTCTCTCTCTCTCTCTCTCTCTCTCTCTCTGTATTGATGCTAATTGCTTGCTTGACTTCAAGTCAAGCCTACGTACACAGCAAAGCGCTGTGAAGAAAAAAAAAAATCAAACAAAACCGTGTAGTTTTGAAGTTTAACCCACTTCGTTGCAATTACTTGGTTAGTATCTATAGTTTTCAATGAAAGACTTGGACTTTTCAGGCAACGACTTACTTTCCTAGCCCAAATCACATGCCAGTGATAATATTATAATGTGGACCTTGAATTTATTATTATCCAGAGCAATGGGACTTGGGCATATCTGATACCATCGCCTTTCCCTTCCATCATCCATCAATGTCTTGGCTTCTTTCCTCCATTCTTCTTCTTGTTCCTCTTCTTCTTCATGTCCTGTTTTTAGTAAATTGCGATGCTTTAAGAAGCGATGGGAACTGTGATTCTTCTTGTGGGAACATTCAAAACATCAGATACCCATTTCGATTTGAAGGTGATCCAGAAAATTGTGGAAAAAAGATATATGAACTGGCCTGCCACAACAATCGTCCACTGCTTAACTTATTCTCTGGCGGTAAATACTACTAGGTGAAGGCAATCAACTACAACAACTACACAATCCGACTCGTGGATGTGGGCATTCAAAACGGAACGTGCTCCTCCCTCCCTCTTGTTAGGTATCAACCCATTGTAAGGGTGGCAGCCACATGGTAAGGGTGGCATCAACCCACTATCCACATGGTGGGGTAGCTGCCAACCAAGAAAAGTGAAGGAATAAGATGGCCATGTGCAAGGCCAGCCATACTTTCCACCTTCTCTTAAGTGTATAAATAGAGATGGTGAAGAGAGAGCAAGAACATACACAGACAGACAAGAGAGCAATATACAAGAGTAGTGTATACTCTGTTTGTGTTATCAGAGTGAGAGAGAATAAGCTATATAGAGAGACAGAGAGTGTGAGTTGAGTGTGTAACCCTCCTCTTGTTGATATATAGTGTTATCGCTCCCATGGACGTAGGCCGGATTGCTGAACCACGTTAAAACTCTTGTGTTATTGCTTGTTTGTGTTTCTCGGTGTGCTCCCGATCCCCAACAAGTGGTATCAGAGCCCGGGTGGTGAAAAATTGAATTTTTTCCGAAAGTGCCTAGATTTCGAAGTGATTGAAATCCACTTTCGAGCATACTAGGAGGAAACTCTAGAGGAGAGGTGTCTAGAACTGCAAACCACAGTCCCAAAGGACCATACACGCGCCCTCACGCGCTAATAGAACAAAGTGCGTGAATCCCACGAGCACCACGCGCCCCACGCGCCGGTGAGAGGAAGAAGATGAGTGGAGCGTGCGTGTTTCTGACGTCAGCCTGACGTCATCCTAAGTCGAGCCGAGCGAGAATTCAGCAGAGCCGAGCCGTCAAGCCGACCTGGAGTCGTTGACCAATTGCTGACCAAGCCGAGTCGGAGCCGAGCCACCAAGTCGCGTGCTGGAGCCGTTGACCAGTGCTGAGCTTCGCTGACCACGCTGCCAAGCCGCACTGTCGAGCTGCTGATGTCAGCCTGACGTCAGCCGAGCCGGAGGAATTATCTGGTGCATCTCAGCTGCACCAGATTCTGCAGATCTGAACCATCCAAACTGTTTTGGCTTGATCTGAGTCGTTCGGAGTTCGTTTCTGACGATCCAATAGTACTTTCCAACTATTTGGAGTATTCCAGGCACATCCGTACGGTCAGGTTGTTGAATCATAATTTTTGTAAAAAGAAAGAAGTTTAAAATGGCAAGAAGAGGTGCAAGTTTCATGATAGAGCCTTTTAATGGTAACAATGACTTTACTCTGTGGCAGCAAAGAGTAAAAAATATTTTAACGCGGGAGGGCTTAATAAAAGATTTCAACAAAAAGTCCAACAAACCGGCAGAAATGCAGGATGGCAAGTGGGAGGAGTTGAGAGAACTGGCAAACAGCACGATCCAGTTATATCTCGGGAACAACACACTCCGAGAAGTCATCAATGAAGTAGATCTGGCAGAGCTATGGGCAAAGTTAGAAATGAGGTACAAGTCAAAGTCTTTGACAAATCGATTATCTTTGAAGAAGCAGCTACACACACTTCAAATGCCAGAAGGAGCGAACCTTACAGAACATCTGGACGAGTTCAACAGGATCACAATGGAATTGGACACTATTGGGGTGAAGACCGAGGAGGAAGATAAGGCTATTATCTTGCTAGTTTCCTTACCTTCATCATATGAGCATCTCAGGACTACTCTATTGTACGGGAAGAATACTCTTGGACTGGATGAGGTGGTTGCTACGCTTATTTCTCATGAGTTGATGAAGAAAAAGGAAAGTAACAAGCACCTAGAAGGAAAAGCCTTGGTTGCATCAGAAAATGAGCAAGGCAGAGGCAGGTCCAATGATAGACGAGGTAGATACAAATCAAGAGGGCGTTCGCAATCAAGGCCAGGCTTTAAGAGAAAGTGTTATTACTGTGATCAGGAGGATCACCTCATCAAAGACTGTGCAAAGCTCAAGAAGGACAAGGCAAACAAGGAACAAGCGAGCTCATCAAATGTCGCCGCTGTAGTGAGTGATGATGATAAGTATGCACTCACAGTTTCGTCGAGTATAATGAAATCTGATTGGATTTTAGATTCTGGAAGTACATACCATATATGCATCGACAGGAAACTTTTTTCCACCTACCAAGTGAAAGACGGAGGTATTGTTCGTGTGGCTAACAACATTGTGAGTAAGATTGTTGGCATGGGAACAGTACGGCTCCGAATGGAAGATGGAAATTTTTTTACGTTGGATGGAGTCCAACACGTGCCGAGACTGAAGAAGAATCTAATTTCGTTAAGTATGCTAGACTTGAAGGATTATAGCTTCTTATCTAGCAAATGAAATGTCAAAGTTATCCATGGAGATACGGTGATGTTACATGGACCACTAGAGGGGAATCTGTCCAGGCTTGTTGAAAAGGTTGTGACAGAAGGAGCTACTGTCACTTACCAGGCAAGAAGTACAAGACATTCACCGAAAATACATAGGGCTCAGCAAACATGGCAACCAAAGTGTACAAGAACGCATGGAGGCAGTTCGAAGGTGCACAAAACGGAGCCATTGCAGCCAATTTTAAAGAAAGCTCAGAGCAAAAAGACCAAGACAGCAAAGCATGGTGGGGTATCTGCCAACCCACTACCCACATGGTGGGGTATCTGCCAACCAACAAAAGTGAAGGAACAAGCTAGCCATGTGCAAGGCTAGCCATACTCTCTACTTTCTCTTAAGTGTATAAATAGAAATGGTGAAAAGAGAGTAAGAACATACACAGACAGACAAGAGAGCAATATGCAAGAGTAGTGTATACTCTGTTTGTGTTATCAGAGTGAGAGAGAATAAGCTATGTAGAGAGACAGAGAGTGTGAGTTGTTGGACAATCTTCACTGTATTTGAAAAAATAAATTCTGTTGTGTACTTAACAACAAACAGCATACAGAAGGAATAAAGAAAATGAGAGAATTTGTTTGATTACAAAAATCAAACCAGTAACATAAAATAAAATAAATCAAAACAGATTTTTATTTTGTTACCAAAAAAAAAAAATCAAAATATGATTTAAATAAATAAATAAAACCAGAAAATAAATACACAACTTACTTGATTAGTTTCTTGAATAATATTCTGATCAAGTCCAGTGTTCGACACTGTGTCCTTAAAACAGATTCGTCCTCTCCATGGTGCTTTGCAGAATATGGACGTTTATTTCCTAGGATAAAATGATCAATTCAACGAATAAATGCCGTACTACAATTTATTTGTACAACGAACATACTAAGTGTATATACTCTTTCTCACAAGGAAAATAATGCAGCAATATGTAAGAATAACAACAGAATTATTATGGACGAAAATTGTGAATGAAAGCATCAAATGAGGGTTGTCTATTTATAGATGGATTAATGGCTTTTCAATTTGAATCCAACAGGTCGCAATCTGTTTTGAACAGATACAATACCTGTTCGGCACTGTTTGAACAGGTTCAATCTGTTCGATTTTGAATTTTGAACACATAACCAAATCTGTTGCACAGATTTGAACTTATTTCGGACAGATCAATTATGTATAGGAGAAAACTGGACAGATTTGAATTTAACCTGTACAATATATTTGAAGAGGTGCAAAATAATTTGAATTCAAATAGATTTTATTCACCAAAAATAAAATTATATTCAAATGTTTTTGGCCCAAAAAAAATTAGTATTGGGCCGGACAAGCCCAACCTAACAACACACTACGCACCCGCGCCCAAGCCCAGGTCCAGCACAGCCTGCCGGACCAACCAGACGAACGGCTGCGGCGCGCGCGTGTGTGGTGATTTTTTGGGTCCAATGGGTCTAGCCCATTTAACCTGCCTCTCTACAAAACTTGGGTACCCCTTAGGGCACACCCCAAGTTCCAATCCCAAGCCTTACAAACCCATTCAAAACTTCCCACCAAATCAATGTGGGACAAGCCTTATTCAAACCTTTAAGGATTTTCCACCAAAACTCCATTTCCATGGAGCACACTTTGGCTTCAATTTCCCATTCACTCGATAGTGGTTTTGAGGAACCAAATATACCACGTGAATCACAACGCGGCATAGAACGCGTTACCACTTAGACCTGCCAATTTTGGCGTACGGGTCCCACCTAAATAATTGGCCAAAGTTTAGGAAAAAATTATGTTTTCCCAAATTTTTCCCAACCATTTCTAACAATCCCCCACGTGAATGGAATTTAATGACAACGGAAGTGTAACAATATGCAGAATTTGTCGAAAAAGTATAAGTCGAAAATATCTTGCATCAGGATAGGTAGCTTTCAGCCTTGAACCTTCCCTAGTGATAAC